TGCACAGGGTTGGCCAGGCTGCCTGGACACTGCTCCTGAGAACAGGGACAAGTCACCAGCTCTGGCCACTGCCCTGTCCCCACAGTGTCCCAGTCCCTGCCCACCCCAGCCCCGTCCCTCTCCCCCACTGACACTGGAGCCACATCCCCACGGCAGGAGGGAGGGAGGGAGGGGGCCACTGCTCCCTGTGCTTTATGGGCTGCTACCTGTCATAAACTGAGAACACCAGGATCAATAAATCTTCCAGGAAATAAAAATCAGGGGAAATAAAATGAACTCAATGGGGAAACACAGATAAACAGAATTGAAAATGCCTGCTGGGACAGCTTGGTGCTCTCATAAACCAGAGGCAGACCTCTGAGGGCACCATTCCTCACCTTGGTCACGCTCTGCACGGGGAGGGGGCTCCAGCAGCGGGGATGGGGCTGTGCTGGGGCAAGAGCAGGTCCTGCATTGCCCCGAGGACCTGGAAATGACCTCGGACCCCTGCTCCATCCCCCTGCCTCGTCCGTAGGCCCCCCACAGCACAGAAAGCCCCTGCAGGACTCTGCCTGCCATTTCTCAGCTGTGCCAGCTCCCGCAGCCCCCACAAGGCACCAAGGATGACACCGGAGCAGCGTCATGGGCACCAACTCAGGCTAATTGTTGTGTAAAGATGAACCAAAGGACAATGAAATATGCATTGGTCACTTCAAATGCTTGTAATCACCCGGTCAGCGTGGGTTCCTGCTCCGGGAGGGATTTTTCCCCTAAGCCGGGAGTCAGAAGCTTTTTTCTCTGCCCCAGCTCACTGAGCTGCAGCCGGGCGGGTGGGGTGACAAATGCCAGGCGGGACTGGGGCTGGGGCCGGCTCCGTCCCACGCTGGGCAGGGACAGGAGCTGGGCGAGCTGAAACCTCCCTCTGTTCCTGCTCCTGCCCACTGGAATGTGCATCCAGCCCCTGCCCTGTGTCCCTGCTGTGGGGCCGGCTCTGACCCGCTGGGTTTGTGCTGCACCACTGCAGGAAAAGCAAATGTGTCCAACAGAATGCACCACCATGGCACTGTCCCCAGGCACCCACAGCCCCTCCGGCACCGTCCCCTCTCCATGACCGACATCCATGACGCCTGCAGCACCCTCTCCTTCCCGCGGCTCCTGCGGCTGCTGGACAGCGCCAGCCCCGGCACAAGGAGCGCCACAAAGGCCCCCGAGACACATCCCGGCACACGGACAGGGACACCCAGGGACAGACGGACCCTCCTGGCTGCCACAGGACCCCCAGCCCTTGGCACAGCCTTGTTGGGAAAGAGCCATCCCGGGGGATCAGGGGAACCCTCCGGATGGATGCAGGAGAGAGCTGGGCACTGCCCCAGTGCCTGGTGACCCACACTGTCCCCACCGCGGGGACACCGGCTGAGGCACGGGGACAGGGCGGGCAGAGGCCGCTGCACAGGC